ACCTGCTGACAGCTTGCACATTCTGCTTTTTCTTGGTAAACCCCTCAATCAGTGAAGGAGAAATCATCTGGCTCCAAAAAAGGCAAGAAATTCCATGCAGACAACCAGCTGGGTAAACCTTCCCAAAAGTTGGTGAAGCTATAAGGGGGTAGTGACTCTCATCTACCTCCCCCGGGGAGACACCATTTCTCCTTCAAAGCTGCTCTCAGTTTTCATGAGATTTTATCTGTTTCCAGGTAATGGGGCGAAAAGCACAGATTCTGCTATCCAGATCACTGAGATTGGAATGGTGGTCTCTTGCTAAACTGCGGTTATTCCAGGGTCCTACTTTGTAACTGATCACCACGTTAGCATCCAACAAACCAGTAGGTAACTAACTGCCTGGACCAAGAAGAGTCCAAGTGGCTGCAAGCCTAGACTTGGCCTCTTCCCAGGAGGTGGTGGGGCCCAAGAGAAACAAGATCCTGCATATCTGGTCCTTAACCTGGGCAGCTAGGCCACGAGGGGACTCCCTTCCCTTGCTCAAAGACATTGCACACGTGTACACACACGTGTGTGCGCACACATGCACACGCACGCCCTTCAAAACGTAATGATTTGTCATCTGGGGTGGATTGTTAGATTTTTGTTTTACTTTGTTTCCCTTTCCTTGACAAAATGGGGAAAAACCCTTCCCGGGGGTGGGAGAGCTTATTTCTGACTGTTGGAAAAAAAGAAAGCAGGAATTGTTGTCACGACAATGAGGAGCTCATCAAAGCCTCATTTTGCTCATCATTGCCCTCTGTCCGCACCCCCACATGTTCCTCTAATTCAATGCCCGCCTAATGAATACCTCCCAGAACAAAAGACCCTTTCAGGCTGCCTCATCATTATCAGAGGAGCCTTGCATAACGGTCGCAGACAACTCGTGTTTTCAGGCCTGACTCGAAATTTGGTTATTCACAACCTTTACAGCTCAATATTATTGCCCAATTGTGATCATTTTCTAATTATCCTAATAATACCTATTAAATAATTCCCATTCAGTCACTTGAACTGGAGCAGTGCAGGCCAGCTTAAATACAGCTTAACCTAATAAGCATGGGTCATTCATTAAGCAACAGGGCAATCTCTTAAAGGAACTGAATAGAATATTAAGCCACAAAGGAATATTATTATTGCACAAATGTTATTACAAGTTTGAGTGTATTAATTCGGAGGCCTGGTTTGCGCGTCTTCCATTTGGTGGCCTTTGAGGACATTCATTATGACTTGACTCTTAGTGTCTCCAGCCCTTTGTGTATCTGCATCTGTCACTCATACGAGGACAATCATGGGGAAAAGGCCCATAAACTTAACAGGGGAATTAAATTACCAAGGACTTAAAGGGAATGAACAGAATCCATCTTCTGGCTCATTCGACACACCTCTGAAAACACCACAAGCTGCCTAGGTTTCTTGAGCATAACTCAAAATTTCCTTTCTTTTTATTTGTTTGCTTGTTTGCTTAACATTTGGGGATGAGGGAGACTTTCAGAAGAGCTTTACTATTTTAGTTTCTATCATTTGAATTCCAAGCATTAAAGGCTAGAGAGAGCCGGGTGCCACAGCTCAAGCCTGTAATCTCAGCACTTTGGGAGGCTGAGACGAGAAGATTGCCTGAGCCCAGGTGTTCAAGACCAGCCTGGGCAACTTGGCCAGATCTCGTCTCTATAATAAATCAAGAAATGTTAGCTGGGCGTGGTGACACACGCCTGTAGTTCCAGCTACTTGGAAAGGTGAGGCGGAAGGATCTCCTGAGTCCAGCAGGTTGAGGCTGCGGTGACCGGGAGCATGACACTGCACTCCAGCCTGGGCGACAGAGTGAGACTCTGACTCAAAAAAAAAAATAGGCTTGAGAGACAATTCTTTAAAAAAGGACATGTGTGGATACTTAATATAATATTTTGGAAAATGACATCAGATAAGGAATCTAGTGCCAGAGAGGTCAAGTGATTCTCGTGGGACCCTACAGGCTAATGGAGTGGGACAGAATTGGAACACAGGGCTTGTTGATCTCTATGGCTCTGCTCTTCCCATCATGCCACATGTTGGTATGCATTGCTAGCAGCAAACTGAAACATGTCTTGGCTTTGCTGGCTCCCCGTGTCATTTCTAAAGTTCTCCATGAAACCAGCAGATTCCTAAGGATGAGCACCAAAGCCTTCTTGATTGGATATGTGACTAAAGACCTAACAAGGGTTGTTCATTTTACTGAAAGTCCCAACAGTCGCTACAGAGACAGGCAGTGGCTCTGTACAAGCAGCAAGAAAGTCATCATTTTTGTGATGAAGGCTACTTTTGATGAGCGAATTTGGATTATTTTTTGCAAGGAAATCTACAGTGTGTTTTAGAAAAAAAAAAGACAAATATTGATTAATCATCTACTTCATGCCAGGTACTGGCCTGGGTTTTACATAAACTGGGTTAGGGTTTTTTTTTTTTAGTTATTTTTATTTTTTTTTTGAGTTGGAGTCTCACTCTGTCGCCCAGACTGGAGTGCAGTGGCCGCTCCCGGCCACCACAGCCTCGACCTACTGGGCTCCGGCGATCCTTCCGCCTCAGCCTTCCGAGTAGCCGGAATTACAGGCATGCGCTACCACGCCCGGCTGATTTTTTGATTTATTGTAGAGATGAGGTCTCACTGCCCAGGCGGGTCTCGAACCCGCGGGCTCAGGCAATCCACTCACCTCAGCTTCCCAAAGGCGCGGGATTATAGGCTGAGCCACCGAGCCTGGCTGGGTTAGGGGTTTTACGTAAATTGTTTTAGTTAATCCTCACCACAAATACAAGAAACAGATATGGTCATCACTCCCAAATGACAAACAAGTAAACTGAGGCATGGAGGAGGAGGGGGAGTCTGACTCCAGCACTTCCTTGATATTTAGTGATAAATGAACCACATAGTTAATGGAGCTGAGACCCCAGGAGTCCTTATTTGGACAGGCCCTTGTGAGGCTCTGGGGCAGCCTTCACAATTTTGCACAGACTCAGAAAATCTGCACCCCCCACCTGCCAGTATCATCACTATCAGTCAACTGAACGCTTCGAAGAGCTAAAATCCTAACCTTCCCTGTTAAGTAACAAGTAACCTGCTGTTTACTTATTGCACACAGAAATATGTATTTTCGGTGTTTGATTTTTTACATTTTGTATCCCAAATACAGAAGGTTGAAGATATCACATCATAAAAGTAAAGAGACAGTACCCTCAATAAGCTCTAAGGATCACCCCAATTCATCAGCCACACCACCAGTAGAGGGGTTCCCACACACATAGATTTCTTTAAGCCATTTCTTACCTGAAAACCCTCCTCATTCGTTATGATATTTCATGTTGGCCAGGCTTGGTGGCTCAGCCTGTAATCCCAGCACTTTGGGAGGCCAGGACGAGTGGATTGCCTGAGTCTGTGGGTTTGAGACTAGCTTGGGCAATTTGGCAAGACATCGTCTCTACAATAAGTCAAAAATTAGCCCGGTATGGTAGCGCGTGCCTGTAGTTCCGGCTACTTGGAAGGCTGAGGCAGAAGATCGCTGGAGCCTAGCAGGTTGACGCTGGGGTGGCCATGAGCATGCCACTATACTCCAGCCTGGGCGACAAAGTGAGACCTGACTCAAAAAAAAAAAAAAAAAAAGATTTCCTGTCTTGTCACATGTGGCAGACGATCCACCTCGGCCAGAACAAGCTCTCACCTTACTGGTTCCTCCTCGGATTTTCATCTTATCTATCACCCCTTTCAGGAAGCCTAGCCTGATGGCTCCCTTCCCCCAAGGTGGTTAGGCACCTCTTGGTTATGTTCACACTGTATCCTAACGCATGTTCCTATGGCAGTTCTGTCACACTGCATTGTGATTGATTTAGTTGTATATTTGTATCTCTCAATGGACTATACACTTCTCAAGGCAGAACTTGCTTCACATTCATTCTTATAGACCTGGTATCTTCATGTCCAACACATAGTAGGTCTTCACCAGATGAGTCCTGTTTGATCTAGGAATCTGAAGCCAACAGTGGATTGGTTACCATTTGTGGCTTTATCTTGGGCCAGGCAATGGATTAATTTAATCACATGTAATTTCTTCTTTAATCTTTATATCAGCTCTGCAAGGTAGAAAACCACTATTATCCCCGTTTGAGATCAGAAAGTAAAAGTTTATAAAGGTTTATAATGTGACTGGCCCAAGGGTATATAGGCAGTAAAACAAAAACAAAAACAAAAACAGGACTTTGACTCTCACTCTGGGTTTCAGTAAAAAAAACAAAAAACAAAAAACAACAACAACAAAAAAAACACCACAGGACTTTGACTCTCACTTTGGACTTTGGGTTACAACTGACATTGCTTCAACACCCAAATATTTCTCCTGAATTGACCTTAACCTCTGAATTACAAAGAATATTCACACTAGCCAGAAGAAAGGGGGGCAGACCAGGAGCCCAGTTACAAGGCCCACAGGCTACCTGATGCCCCCCACAATTTCAAATTGGACCACTGTTGTTTTTATTTTATTTTATTTTATGTATGTATGTATGTATTTATTTGAGTTGGAGTCTCACTCTTGTCACCCAGGCTGGAATACAGCAGTGTGTTCACGGCCACCGCAGCCTCTACCTGCTGGACTTAGATGATCCTTCCGCCTCAGCCTTCCAAGCAGCTGGAACTACAGGCACATGCTCCCATGCCCGGTTTATTTTTTTATTTATTGTAGAGACGAGGTATCGCCAAGTTCCCCGGGCTGGTCTCAAACCCCTGAGCTCAGGCAATCCTCTCGCCTCGGCCTCCCAAAGTTGCTGAGATTACAGGTTTGAGCCACCGCACCCGGTCTCACTGTTGATTTTCAAAGCGTGCAGTTTGTGTATTTAGCACCACATGTTTATGTTGGCAGGTCCCCAGTGGGTGATAAGATTGTTTTCCCCAGATGGTTAGCCCGGAACTATTCTCATACCACGCCCCTTCTCCCAGGTCTGCTGGGATGCCGTACCTGCTTCTCCTCTAAATGCCTTCTCCAGCCTCACGCCCTGGATCTCGAAAGCCCTCTGCTGCTCCTCCACCTCCTCCAGCTGCCTCTGGATGGCCTGAAATGCCAGAATCGCATGTCACATGGGGACTCTCCATGCAGAGAATTCAGTGAGGGGCCAATTCTGCCACTTACTCTCCAAGAGGAAGAGGCCCTGTCACTTGTGATAGTCCTGCCTTTATTAAGCTGCGCGGGGACCTCAGAATTCCCAAACAACTGGACCTTGATGTTTCCCTTCTTTAGCAGGAAGCATAAAGTAAGGAATCTGTGTGTATGTTCAACCTGCCCCCAAGCAGACATTAAGACAGTACCCTTTGACAAGGCCAATCACCTAAATGTCCTCTAAGACAGAGGCTTTGGCTAGGTTGGCAGTTCTCATGGCTCCTGGACGTCTCGGAGCCCACAGCCTCTGACATAATGACCAGAGCTGCAGCCAATACTCAGAGTAGGGCAGAGGCCCCAGGGGCCAACACAGAGTGTGCTCATGTTCCATTTTCCCGAGAAGAACCAATCTATACCCCCAGGAACTTGGTCTGGAGCAGGAGACTTGAGCCAATTCCCAGGTGTTGATTGTTCTGCTCTTATCTTTAGCTACAAATTGTACTCACTCTTTCACTATACCACGGGCAGATGCCCAGGGTTCTTTCACTGTAGAAGGGTCCTGTGGCTTTGTTACTAGCAGAGTATGAAGGCAAGACACAAGAAGCAGAAAGGCAAGGCACCCTCCCTTTTCCTGGGGACCTGAGCCTAGTCTTGAACAACACTCGGGATTTAGGACATAAGGACTTCGAATGACCACTCATAACCCAACATATCCTTACACCCCCTTCTCCATTTCTTTCCCTTTATCTGGTTCTAGGATTCCTAAAAGTTATTTCTGCCAAGAATGAAGTAATTTAATCCAACTTCCTTTACCCTTCCCTGTGGCTGACCTGGGTGTTAAACAAGAGATTTAACTCATTAGGTCTTCTGAGACTCACCACAGGTACCTATCAAGGTCTGGGGACACGACTGGGTTTGCAGTTACATATTTATTTTCTCGACTAGCTATTACTCTCTTATGTATATTAGCAAGGAAAGGCAGGGGAAAGCCTTTCCTATGTAAATGTTGTTCATCTCTGTCAATTTTCTCTGCTCTCAAATGCCATGCTGCCAAAAGGCATACCCCTTGGCAGGACAGACTTGGCACCTGGTAGAACAGGTGTATGAGAGGAGCTGTCAGCTGTACAGACAGGCAGAATCCCAGTGTCCCTCCCCTGCCTCACGTCAGCTCTGTCTCACTCCCCTTCCTCCTTCACCCTACATCTTTCTAAACATCCCAAGAAATCACAAGTACAGCTGCCGAGGCTCCTTCAATCTTGTGAAGACACCCCAGCAGGTTGGGGCCTGAACCTGGCTCTTCTTGTCCCAGCTATGAGTGTTTAGGTCCCAAACACAAAATCTGAAATAGTCTGGAAAGCCTATTTAAAGTGACTTACAATTTCATGTCCTCTTCCTATCTGTCTGTTAAAGACAGTTATATATACATCCATCTCTTGCTGGCATGGTGTAGACTTGCTACAGAAGGGAAACACTTAAATGACTATTACTGATTGCAACTGTGTGATTGTTATAGACTGAATTGTGTCCCCTTCCTACCCCCCCACCCCCAATTCATATGTTGAAGCCCTGACCAGCTTTGTGACTATATTTGGAGATACGACTTTTAAGGAGGTAATTAAGGTTAAGTGAGGTAAGAAAGGTGGGGTCCTAAGCCAACAGGACCTGTGTCCTTATAGGAAGAGGAAGACACTAGAGAGAGTTCTCTCTGTCCACGTGTACACACACACACAAAGGTCATGTGAGGACACACCAAGCAGCCAGCTGTCTACAAGCCAGGAAGAGAAGCCTCACCAGGCACCTTAATCTTGGACTTCTAGACTCCAGAATGTGAAGAAAATAAATTTCTGTTGTGTAAGCCTCCCAGCCTGTGGTATTTTGGTATGGCGGTTCAAGCAGACTAATACAGTGGTCTTAGTTTCTGCATTCTTTAGAAACTAAGGATGAAAGACTCCAAGATTAAAAAGGGCCACCATGGGTGTCAGCAGTTTAGAACTCAAAAGGTCACTGTAATTCTTCTCTTATTACCACCTGCTGTCTAGAGTGAAAATATAAGGAGGAAAAATTGCCAAGTTTGCCAGTCAATAGAAGACTTGTCTTGCTCTTAGAAGTCAAAGTTGAAATGTTTCCAGGAACCTGTTTTAGAAGTTACCAGTGGACAGAGGAGAGTTTGTGGGAGCTTTCCCCATCCACGAGGTGGAAGGGGTGGCTTCCGAATCAGCCACGGGGGGAAGGGTAAAGGAGATTGGATTAAATGACTTCATTCTTGGCAGACATAACTTTTAGGATTCCATAGCCAGATAAAGGGAAGAACTGGAGAAAGGGATGTAAGGACACGTTGGATGAATGTGAATGGTCAAAAGTTCGTATATCCTAAAACCCAACTGTTCTTCAAGACTAAGCCTGGGGTCCTCAGGAAAATGGAGAATGCCTTGACTTTCTGCTTCATTGTGCCTCTCTGTGATGGAGGGGAAAGCACAACTTGGGCAGAAATGCTTGAAGTGAACACTCAGGCCAGGAAACCTATATTGGAATGCTAGATATTTATGATTTCAATTAGTCTTGAAATGCTGGCAGCCCCTAATAGATGTTGATTTAGCAAAGACATGGTCAGGGAGTTGGTGGAAGGTTTGTGTTCTCACAGAGGACAAAATTAAGGTCATTGCTATGTAGCAGTCAGGGCTCTTGGTGATTCCCAAGGCTATGCTCTGGTTCTTGTTTCAGTCAACTTGGTTTAACATATGTTTGTGGATGTAAAGGTGACTGAGAATAGGCCAGCTCCACACCTGGGCTCTTTGGGCTCAAGAGCCCCCCTAGGGATTGAGCCAGGACCTTTCGAATGGCCACAAGCCTGGTCCCACAGAGAAGACAAGACTGGCCTTTCTCCAGCTGGTTTCCCTAATACAGTATAGACTCTGCAAGCTCTTTCCCATCCAGATTCCCAGGATTCCAACCCATTCACTCTTCTCAAGTTTGTTTTCTGACCTGAGCCTTATAAAGTCTTTTCAATTCTTCTTGCTTAACTAACTGCTTCATTGCGTTTTCCAGCTTCCTCCTTCTTCTTAGCGTCTTCCTCTCCTATGAAAACCAATAAAGAAGAAAAAAATATATCTGTGAAAAATGGGGTTCAAACTTACAAAATATCATCATAGCCTTCTGCTCTCTCCAATCAATGATTTCTAGCTGCTGCTCAGTGTCTAAAACAGTGGCATTCAATAGAACTTTCCGCAATGACAGAAATGATCTATATCTATGCTATAATATGGAAGCCATTAGCCACATATGGCTATCAGACACTTGAAATGAGGTGAGTGTGAATAAGAAATTGCATTTTAAGTTTTATTAAATTTCAGCGAACTTAAATGTAAATTGAAGCAGCTCATGTTGCTAGTAGGTGCTAGACTGGGAAGCTGGTATGAGGGTGTGTGGTGCGGTGTATATGTGGATCTATAGATGGGAACGGCTTTATAGAGCACTGACTGGGTTCAGTTGAGAGAAGGTGTAAAACAAGATTTATACTTTATATTGGTGCGACTATGCAGCCCAGGGATGAGGGGCCCAGGAGAGACAGACAAGCAGATAGATCATCTCTCTCTCTCTCTCTATTTCTCTCTTTCTCATCTCTGTCTCTCTGTCTGTCTTTCTCTCTGTCTCTGTCTGTCTGTCTCTCTCTCTTTCTCCATGAAAACCAATTAACAACTTAAATAGTGCCTAGGTTGGGTCAACAGTGCCTAATTAAACCTGGAAATAGAGAAGTGAGTGTATCTAAATAATTAAAAAATGAAGGCATTTCTTGGCTTGAGGGAGGCATAAGATCACTTCCTTCCCTGCTTCACTTTGCTTGTACAATTATAGTATTGCTGTCATTGGGTTTTGTGTGTGCCTAGGCTTGTCAAAAAAAAAAGAAGAAGAAGAAGAAGAACATTCAAAATTGATGCATGTAAAATAGATGTATGAATCTTGAAGGTGTCACTTTCGGGTTTTAGACACCAGAGAAAGGAGAAGTGATGGTATGGCCAGTTCTAAATACTGGGAAGTTTGGGAGACACTTTGATCAGAGAGATGGCAAAGAGTAAGGATTGAGCCCTGAGCCCAGGAGCCAGGCAAAGATGGCATCAAGTACCAGTTGGGCTGTGTAAACCTCAGATGTAATACAACTTTCTGGACTTTAGTGTCTTCTTCAGAGTGAGGAGAAAGATTTAATGCCTACCTTGTAGGCATACCATAAAGGTTAAATGAGATAACACAGGCTAAGCACTTTGCAGAGCACTTGAAAAGGGCATGGGATAAATATTCAGTAAATAGTATGGTTTTTACTATTATTAACATGTCTGCTGTAGCATTATATTATAAATTAGCATGAATACCACTTTTTACTAAAATGTAGTATTTTTCATCTGTGTAGGAGTATACATACACCCAGATATCCTATTCATACAAAATAAACATTCAAACAGGGCTAATTTTACCCTGAGTTTGCCTTCTCTGAGTATATATATCAACTTTCTACATATTAGGATGAGGATTAGAGCATGCTAGAGTTTTCTTTTTAGTGCTGGTGGAAACAAATATGGAATTTCAAATTGTTGTAGCTAGCCAGGTGCCTGGACATTCAACAACCGTGGTTGAACTGAATGTTTGCTCATTATAATGCTTATAAATCCATAAGTAGGAAACAGAGAGCTAACAGACTGACCCCAGATATTGCCAGAGTAATCTGGGCCCCAAAGAAAGGTCAGACATTGCACCTCGAAAACACATATAATTCAAGGTTTTGTGGAGAAACAATTTCTCTGCTCAGGAAAGAATCCAGCTGTGAGACTTTAGACCCTCTACAGATCATTAGGAAGAACATTAGTCTCAGAGAGAATCCTCCTTAGGGCTTAGAGTCCCGAAGATCTTCTTCATCCTTGGGAAGAAATTTTGGCTCTAAGAACTTATTCTATATCATATCATCTCTGTTTCTAGGGATGATGTGCAGATTGACTGTCAATCACTCCGAATGGAGATTCCAGGCCTTTTCCATGGGGGACCCCTCCCTTAGGTAGTTAGGTTCTTTCTGGAAAGCAGGGGAAATGGTGGAGATCAATGGTAAGTGTTAGCCAGAGATTGTCTAACTTAGTCTTTATGGAGAATCAGTTCATTTATTTAGCAAGTGTCTCCTGGGCTTCCATTGTACTAACCTACATGATTAAATCCTAGCATTGATCGAATGCTATGTGTCACACACCGTATGGATTACTTCACATGCATCATCTCATTTTTTTCTCAAAATGCACTCAGTTTACAGATATGGAAATTGAAACTCAGCGAGGAAAATAACTGGCACAAGATGATGCAATTATTAATAGGTAGAGCCAGGAGTTAAGGGCAGGTAGCCTGAATCCTGTAACCATTTATCTATCTACACTGCCTTTTCTAGTGCCAAATACTGTTTGGTTACAGCAAGGACCACTGCTGTATACTGAGTCCTATAGAAAAGAACAGCCAACATTTTCCCCTAAATGAAGACCATTGAATACAATGCTGGGGGTGGGATGTTCAACAGCATCCATGCGGTCTCAGTGCTTTCCAGCAGCAAAGCTATCAAACCTCGACTGCGTTTCCAAAAGTCAGCACAGCAGAACTTAGAGGAGGAAAGAAAGTCATGTATTGTCTCTCTTTAAGAAGATGTTGACATAGCAAGAACCTGGAAACAACCATGCTGCCCATCAAAAGAGGACTGGATTAAAAAAATGTGGTACATATACATGATGCTG